TGCCCGGCTAATTTTTTCTATATATTTTTAGTTGTCCAATTAATTTCTTTCTATTTTTAGTAGAGACAGGGTCTTGCTCTTGCTCAGGCTGGTCTAGAACTCCTGACCTTGAGCGATCCTCCCGCCTCGGCCTCCCAGAGAGCTAGGATTACAGGCGTGAGCCACCGCGCCAAGCCTCCGTGGGGTTTTTGAGGAACCGTCCAGCTGTTCTGCAGTGGCTGCCGCATTTTACATTCTCAGCCGCAGTTGACAAGGGTTCCAGTTTCTCCACATCCCTACCAACTCTTGTTATCTTCCCTTTTTAAAATTATTCTTACAGCCATGCTGGTGCGTGTGAAGGGCGTCTTGTGGTTTCAGTGCGCATTTCTCTAATGACTGATGAAGCTGAGCATCTTCTCGTGCTTGTTCGTCGTCTGTGTGTGTCTGGGAAAGGTGCATCATCCATTTTTAAATTGGGTTGTCTTGGCCGGGCGCGGTGGCTCACGCCTATAATCCTAGCCCTTTGGGAGGCCGACGTGGGAGGATCACTCAAGGTCAGGAGTTCGAGACCAGCCTGAGCAAGAGCGAGACACCGTCTCTACTAAAAATAGAAAGAAATTATCTGGACAACTAAAAATATATATATAAAAAAAATTAGCCAGGCATGGTGGCGCATGCCTGTAGTCCCAGCTACTCAGGAGGCTGAGGCAGGAGGATCGCTTGAGCCCAGGAGTTTGAGGTTGCTGTGAGCTAGGCTGATGCCACGGCACTCTAGTCCCGGCAACAGAGCAAGACTCTGTCTCAAAAAAAAAAAAAAAAAAAAGAAAGCGGCGCGCTCAAGTTCCTAGAAACGTGGGTGCAGACAGCGCGAGATCCAGCCGGAGGAGAGGCCGCGGCCGTCGGGGCGGGGCCGCGCCTGTATTTCTGCGCACCTTGCACAGAGGACAGTCTGTCTGCACGAAGCTGGTAAAACCTGGTTTATGGAGAAGGGAGTGGAAAAAACTTGGTGACATTTTTCTGAAAATCTCAGTAGTTGATGATTAGGCTTTTGTGAACCAATGACCAGACGATGACATGGGGCAACGGCTGGGAACAGCACCCTCTGGTGACCTGTGAACCCCGTAGTCACACAACTCCGGGACGGGTCAGCAGTGTACTCAGTGCCAACAGTGAACAGTTTTCAACAGCACAGTGTCATGGCCTGGCCCCTGGGGACCAAGCAGAGATCCCATGAGAGTGAGAGTGCTGTCACCAAGGGGCTCAGAGCCACCCCGGGCCCCACCCCAGCCTGGCCCACCCTGGGGTCTGCACCGGGAGCCTGCTGCCCCAGGGACCGGCCACCCCCGACCCTGCCGCCGGCGCAGGTGCAGCCCGAGCTGAAGACTGCAGCCCTGAGGAGCCCCCTCATTGAGTATGTGACAGTGGCACCTCCTCCAGAGGCCACAGACCCCTGTGGCAGGCCTGGTGGGGGACCCCATCCAAGTTCCCTTATCAGCTTTCTGGCTGGGCTGGCCGTGAGCAGTGGCCACCCCAGCCTGTCCTTGGCCATCTCCCGCCAGGCCGTCCTCCCTCTCTGTCCGTGTCCAAATTACCCCGTTGTGTGCAGACACTGGTCACTGGGCTGGGCCCACCCTAATGGCCTCGTTTAACATTAGTCACTTCCTTAAAGGCCCCGTCTCCAAATACACTTCCGTGCTGAGGTCCTGGGTGTGAGGACTTCAACCTGCGGATTGCAGGGACACAGCTGAGCTCAGAGCAGCCCCACCCACACAGCCACCACGGCTCCCGAGGCTGGGCAGCCTCCAACGCTGGGGCTTGCTGGACTCTGACGAGCGTGAGTCCTGCAGAGAGCGGCAGCCCTGGCCCGGCGTCGGGTCCGACCTTGCCAGTCAGGGTTCGCAGGCAGGTCGCCCCAGTTCCCATGTCTACAAGATCGAGATTGCGGTCTTCACAGCTATTTAGAACCAAAACGGGCTTGGCAGGGCCCCACTCGTAACCAGCCTGGACAGCTGCTATCACTGGCACGCTCCGTGTATCCCTTCCTCTCCTTGCCACTCCCGTGGGGGCACCTCCCGCTCTAGAACGCGCCTGTGCACGCACACGCGGCTCCCCAGGCCCTGCACGCCACTGGGACTCGCATCAACCCAGCATCATGCAACTGGACTAAATCCGGCCTGTGCAGGGAGCAATTCCAAAGCTTGTTATTTCAAGAAGAGATTTTTTGAAAACCACAGCCCGAGATTTCATGGTATCTCTATCTAAGACGGTTTAATATGTTTATCTCTCACAACCATTATTAAGAAATGGGAACCCAGGAACCCAGAATGTCTCAAACCAATCATTAAGTTCTTTAGAAAGTATGCTTTGAAGTGTGATAATCAGTGAGAGTAATGATTTCCATTTGTGTGGTGCTGTCAGCCCCAAACACTGTTCCTCTGAACAAAAGGACTCCTAAGAGGTAAATAGCTGCACAGTGGAGAGCTCTACAGTCAAGTAAGTTTGCCAAGTACAGGGTGAAACAAAGTTAGGTTTCTTTTTGCAGGACTTCTCAGAGCCTTCAGTGTGCTGAGCATCATATCCCTATATCAGTTACAACTTGGTTCTGCTGCCAGTGATAGAAAACCCCAGGTGACAATGGCTTTGTTCATTAGTTTCTCTCACCAAGTCACAGTCCAGAAACCAGCAGGCCAAGGCTGATACAGCAGCCCATCATCAGCAGAAACCTAAGACTTTTCTACCTTGCTCACCCTCCATCCTCAGCACATGACTTCCACCTCATGATCCAAGGTGGCTGCTTGAGCACCAGCCATTATATCCACATTCCAGTGAGTAGGGAGAAGGAAGGAATAAAGAAGAGTGGACACTTCCTGAAGTCACATGTGATACTTGCATGTAGTATTTCATCCCATTGCCCAACTGGGCTGCCAGCCTACATAATGCCTTCCGGTGAATCTGAAAACAGGAACCCATCTAAATGCAGCCCTGAGGACACACAGCTTAACAGGCAACAGTGCCTTTGTGCAAACTAGAAAAATAGCGAATGAGCCCAGGGCTGCCTTTTGTGCAGGGGGGTCCGGATGCAGCCCCGTGTAGGGGACCTGCCTGGTTGAGGAGAGCTCGGACTGGATTTCAGCCCTAACGTCCCCTCCCTCCCTCACACCTTGCTCTGGGCACACCCCAGGGTCATGAGCACAGGCAGCTGCCCTGCCCGCTGGCCCAAACTCCGTGAAGTGGCCGCACCTAGCTGCAAGGGAAGCTGGGCGAGGCAGCCTTTATTCAGGAGGCCAGAGGCCCGGCTAAGAGTGGGGTGGGGGCTCTGGTCCTAAGGAAAGAAGATTAAGATTTGGTGCCAGTTTCCGTCTCTGCCACCTGCCCAAGAGGGGACAGCACCCACACACCTTCCTAAGTGCCCTTTGTAATGACACCCCAGAAGTGACAGAGACGACACAGGACTCTCGTGTCCCACAGGGTGAGTTCGTGGAGCGCCATGGCTCTAGCCACGATCAGCCATGTGGCAGGTGGGTCCCTTGCTCTGAGCTGGACTGGTGGCGTCAGTCCCTTTGGACAAGCCCACCAGGCGAGGGCTGCTCCGGGCTGTGATCGACTCACCTCGTGATTTACGTCCTGGTAGGAGACAGTCGCCCTCCCTTCCGCCACCAGCCTCCGGCCTGGAGAGCCCTGACTACTCTCCCCGCATCGCCCCTGCAGCTCAGGCTTGGGTACCTGCTGACGAGGCTGGCGGATCAGATATGCCTCCCCGGATGGGACTGCACGGTGGCCTGGGCCACCAGGGAGGATGACGTGCAGGGCCCTGTCTGCAGGATCTGGCTGCACGCGGAGAGCGGCACTACTGCCTCTGCTCGGGGGCGGAGTGCGGCCTCCGCCTCACGCCTGGTGCGACCCTGGCCGAACTGGCTTCCGGACCATCTGGAGCCCCCCACGGCCCTCCCTGCATGAGGGCCATCCCTGCATCACAGCCTGGGACGGCCATGTGTTTCATCCCTCCCCCGTTCTCCGTCACAGCTGAAGGAACTCGGTCTTCCTGGAGTCCGGCGTGCGGGAGGAACAGCCGGCTGTCCTGTGCCAGTTTGAGAAACGCGGAAAGGACTCCCGCCCTAAATAGCTCTTCCCAAATTTTGTCAGCTCACTTACAATACTGCTGACAACACCGCATTCCTTAGGAGACTGGTTTGATACTGCGCCTTTACGGGTACTCGGGCATGCAGGTTAAAAGCAAGATTCTTTTTTATGTGCCACATTGACAGGGACCGACCAGGAAAGCGGGAGAAGATACCGAGCAGCGGGGAGCACTGGGCACCGTCAACTCCGGGGGGTCAACTTCACTCGGCTCCCGCAACTCCTGGCGAGGGGGATCGGGGCAACTTTTTGGGAAGACAGCTTGACCAGGCACACAGCTCCGCACAGCTGCCCAGCCCCCGCTGCGGGGCCAGCACGGCTCCGCGCCGTGGAGTCACAGCGAC